CTCGGCTACCCGAACTACGCGCGATAGGCGCGGGGCGCCGGCTAGGGCCCTTTCATCGGCCGTTCTTTATTCTTTCTCAACAATTTAATCATGCTGAACTTAACATAGACTATACTGATCATATAAATGACTTTGGTCCGAAAGTTGCCGAGGGAAATCAAACTTTGTTCGGTGATCACTTTACTTATGCATAATCGGACTTAAGGGTGATAAAATCTGAAATTCCGGCAATTTATCCGAACACTTAACTCTGAATTTGCCTAATTAACAAGTCTATGAACTGAAAAGGAGTTTACCTTCTTAAACGCTCGACGGAATCGGAAATCAACGTGTACTTAAAGCCTTGCGCTCGCCGTGCGGTATCCTCCCGTCTTTGCCGTGTGATTTCAATGGAGTTTCTAAGAAATTTGTTGGATTTAAATATGCTATAGAAGAGTATAATAAGGGAAGAAATGCTGATTGCTTCCATAAGGAAAAAGGGAGGAAATTTTCTCCATCTCCCCCTATTTATACTCGTACGCGCAAGATAGGGATGATGATGCCATGATGTGGCTTTCTTTTTGCCCTCCAAATGTCACCATTTTGATGATACTTAGGATGACTAAGCTGCTCCATACTTGGCCACGTAGCCTTGTAACATGAAGAGGAAAATCATTTCCTTCCACATGAAGAACTCTCGGCTATTGCTCAATTTATGGGAAAATTTTATTAATCTCACGGCATTTGTTACTCAAATTGGAAGAATGAACTTAATTGCTCACGGCTTAATGCTACTTGTATGTGATTAATTTACAATTAATCACTAATATATGTTTAATTCGTTAATTAAACATAATGCTTAATTACCAAAATTATTTCGGACGTAAACGGTACGCCGAAAATATATTTCGGTAATCCCGACTGAACTTAATTAATTCCGAAAATAATAAACGATAACGTTACTATATCGGAATTAAACGTAATTTATACTGATAATATCTCGGGATATTACAATCCTCCCTCCTTACAAAATTTCCGTCCTCGGAAATTCAAAACGTGACTACTATACATAAACTATGTACATAAGATAAAGAATATGTACATCAAAACTGAAAATCTGGAAAACGAGCGCGAATGTCTGACTCTTCCTCCCAGGTAGCTCCGTGGTGATCTCACTGAATGCGCACGAGGGGGATATCTCGCTTCCGGAGCCGACGGACCTGACGGTCTAGTACAGCTACCGGTCGCTCCTCGTACGACAAGTCTGGTTGAACCTGAATATCCGCGTGAGGGATAACATGATCGGGGTCGCACACGTACTTACGCAACATAGATGCGTGAAACACATTGTGAATGCCTGATAACTCGGGAGGTAGGGCTAAACGATACGCGACCTTACCTACTCGCTCGAGAACCTCGAACAGACCTATGAAACGAGGGTGTAGTTTCCCTCTCTTGCCGAATCGCACTACTCCGCGAACCGGGCGAACTCTGAGAAAGGCGTGCTCGCCAACCTCAAACTGAATATCT